TAGACGATGTCATACAGGCTCTGCAATCAACACTAGACCAACACGTGGAGACTTTGATGAGCACGAAGTTTAGTAAATGGTCAATAATGATATTGACAAACCTGGCAATGCATTGTTCATGTTCTACCAGGTATCGCAAACTGTACGAACAAGCACGAAGTTTAGCTATGGGATCGCACAGGACACCAGATAGATCGGCCTAATGTCAAACGCATAGCTGGATATGGGGACTATACTAGTAAGCAAAAGATTGTTATGATAAAAATAAACAAAGCAGCCAACATCCTGAATAGAAGAAATGAATGTAGGAAGTCAAGTGGAAACTACCGTTGGGTGTTGGATATGATTAGAGTGAGAGGGGAACGAGAAGTAGCACCGAGCAACAGGAGGCTTGATTAGGCTGGAATCTGGTTGTGACTCTTACATCACACTCATTTCAAAAGTAATGCATTCACATAGCATGCGTGCAATGGTACGCATACGTATTTTAGGGGAGAACGCAGCTGCTCGGCTACAATTGCACTTCTTTCATGCTTCATCCGAGGCCACTTAACTTGACTAGGCAAAATGTAGGATATCCAACCAAAAGATGAGATGCCTGAGTTGACCAAAGTGGACTATAGGAAGTAGCTTGGTTTGAAGCCGGCCACCTTAATTGCCCTCATGATTTTTATGCGTTAGCGTTAAGCATCGTGTTCTGCTCTGACGAGGTCCGTCAAATGACGGGCAAAAGCTCAGCAATTATTCATCGTGATCCCATGGCGGTGCGCCGAGGACCTATTTGCACAAATCTACAACCACAGATCTAAGTCAATCCTCCCCCCCACCTTCCGGTATAACCAGCTTACAAACTCTTCTAACGAAATGAAATGTACTCCAATATTTTCCCTCTAGCCACCAGTTTTGGTTTCGTGTATTGTGGATCTCCTTACAATGCAGTCACACACTCTGGCGATGTCCTTCTCAGCAGAAAAGACCAGAGCCTAGCATTGTTTAGTCGGGGTAGCAGACGTTATGCTGGGGACATGTTTATACAATTTAACTCACGATTTCAAGGCACTCCTATTCCCGATGAGGCTGAGGTGCCAAATCCCTTTTATCTAGAACTAATACAGATGATCTCGAAGATCCAGTCATCTTTGGAAAATTGTGATTTGATGCTGCTCTCAGTTTTTATCATTAAAAATGCACTAAAAGATGCCTGCAGAATGTTTAAAAATCGAACCGCCTGAATATCAGCTGTTTGTAAAAAAGGTGACAGCCATTTCTAGACACAGTGTGTTTCTACAAATTCTATTAAGATTAACAACTTTTTCGGATCTTGTCAGAATCCTTTAAAATGAAAGGCACATGCTGCAGCATTAGGCCCATGCATTATCAGTCTTCGAAGTCGCGCCCATCCGGCTTCTCATTTTGGCAACCTCTTCTGTTGTACTTGAGACTGGTCAAGCATTGTTGACATGCTACTTCCCTTACGACTTTTCTGTGTACCAAAGATTGGTCGCGGGTCACCTTGCGTTATCCCTGCCCTCTTCTGGACTAAACGCTTTATATCATCCTTGATACGAGTTCCGTCCAGACGTAAAAATAGCTACTCTTGGTGAGCTTTAAACTGATCCAATTCAAATGCTTATTTCAAATTTGTATCTTTCTATTCAAGGGCGACGTCATACTTCTTCGGGATGCGTCTGCCGCCTCTATATCCATCATCCTCCGTCCTAGCCGCATATCTAATTTAAAGTTTGGTTAAGGAATTATTCAGCATTTTGCATAAATTGTTGCTACAGTACAATACAAAAATATGTTCTTAATAATTGTTTATTATCGTTTATTTAGTCATGCATGCTTCTATCTCAACTATTCGATTTTGCAGTCTGTCCTGTCTCCTAGACTTGTTTTGATATATATAATCTCCAATCGCTATGATCTTTTAATGCTGAATTGAATGAGTAATATGAAATTGACCATTGAGCATTGAACAATAGTTGAAGCCGTTGCTAGTTAGGGTTATAGTCATTCCTTCTGTTTTGCCTGGACTCGCAAGTCTTCCTAAGTAATCACTTTTTCCACTTCCTTTGACTGTCTTTCGTCTCCCCTCCATTTTTCTTAAGGACATTCCTTCCACAATCTCATTGATGTTATCTACAAGCATCCAGTAATGGTGAAACGCGCCAACGCTTTTTTTGCACAGCCTACGGTCCATCTCTCCTCTCCTTCAGATCACCTGGTATATGTCAACCAGGGAGAGTTTGCTAGCCTTTTTTATAGACCT